TGTTGCGGTTTTGTGCAAACAACGAATTGTTCATTATGAACACCTTCTTCGAGCATCGAAAAGTGCATCATTACACCTGGCACCGGGAAGCTTGTGCGCAGAAGTCAATGATCGATTTGATGATCGTATCGTGTGACTTGAAATGCTCAGGTATGTTTGTTCGCGTTAAGAGAGATGCAGAGCTATCCGCCGATCATCACCTTGTTGTTGGCACGCTGCGCTGTAAGAAACGGAGTACCATTCGAAGATCTGGTGGCAGAAGCAACCTGAGAATCAAATGGGAAACATGTTCTTCGGTGGATACGAGAGCGAAATATGAAAACAACATCGCACAGGTCGGTTTGAACGGATCCCGGTGATGACAACTAATGTTGAAGCTCAATGGCATCTCTTTAAGAGCGGCATATTCGAGGCTACCGCCAAACGGGTTGGCCTGCCGCATGGAGGTCAGAAAAGATCTTACTGGCGAAAACGAGAGGTACAACTGTCAGTTAAAGAGAAGAAGCAGCGTTCAAGAAGCAGCGTTCAAGAAATGACTTGGAAACAAGGAGCCATCTACGCGCATGCGATATGTCGAGGCACGCAAGGCGGCAGCCACAGCAGTGTTGAAATCTAAGGCTGACACCTGACAGTGGTACTGGAGTCGAACTTCCATACGGCAAACAACGTAATCTGGCAGATCATGCACCGGCTACGAGGTGAAAAGAAGGGCAGTCTATGAGACTTGAAAGACAAGTATGGACACCCTCTTACCAAGGATGAGGACATTCTTCGGCGATGGAAGAGTATTTTGAGGAACTCCTTAACCCTGCGGAGTTGCAGGAAGACTCGCCTCTAGAGCAGAAGGGTACGGATATTGCTGTCTCTGTAGATAAAATTACACAAGCTGTGAAAATCTTGAAAAATGGAAAAGCTGCTGGAATTGATGATATCCGCCTTGAGATGCTCAAGCCATTAGGCGAACAAGGCATGTGCTGGTTAATAGGTGTCTGTCAAACTGCGATGATTGCGGGAAAGACACCAGTAAAGTGGAGAACGGGAGTTATTGTACCCGTATTCAAGAAGGGAGACTACAAGGAATGCTCCATTTATAGGGGCATAACGTTAA